ATCGTCGTATAGTTAGGCTTGCTTTATATTGCTTTATAAATAATGAGTATTAAAGAATAAAAAAACTAGGTTACAGACAGGTTCAAAACTTCGATTGTTCCGATCCATTGTTGACACCCCTACACGGAGGTTATAGTGACGTCGTGCATAAGGGCCAGACAGGCCGGTTCACAGTGAATCCACTCTGCCGAACCTTGTTCTTGGTATAATCGGGAACATAGTCAAACACTTTTGTTACTAAATAAAACCATGAAATGTTTGTTAAAAGCACTCTTTTGGTCTTTTGGAGATTTTAGTCCCAAAACATAATCTTTATTGTAGGCTAAAAGTAAAACCTATCTATTGCCATACTTTTCATCCACAGACATCGACTTAGGCTATTATGCAATGTCTTTAAAAAATACCAGGGTTTCAGGTTTCAGTCAAAATACTTTTGTAAACATTGACAATGTGCTGTTTTAGCACAGTTCATTCCTTGACCACGATCGTTTTTACTCACTAGAGAAAAGACTCTCCTTACAAAATGTATTTGTAGGCCAAGATGTTTGTAATTTTTTTAATGTATAACTGCAATTTCTTTTAAAAAGAAATACAAAAACTGACAAATGACTTAGATTAATACTTAAAAAGTTAAGCCTATTTATAAATTAGAGGAAACTTTATTAGATCTCATCATAGTCAAATTCAAACATTTACAGTATTTCAAAATAATTAACATTCTTGTGTAATGAAAATCTGCAAGCGACTGAGGCCGAGGGCGAGGGAGGGCATGTGAACCAGGCTTTAGAACAAGGGCAAATTCTGCCAAACTTTCTCTTTTCCTCCCCCATGTCCCGTTAGACGGTGGGCGGGGCTTCACACAATAAACAGTTCATTCATTCACAGTAGAGAAGAGTTTTTGTGGCAGTGACGTATGTCTCTTGTCTGCTCTTCAAGTTCACACATCTGGACTCCTTTAAAACAATTATAAGTGATAATCTTTATTAAAAATAAGTGAAAAACTGTTAACATTTTCAAGGAAAAAAAGTTAAGAAGTAAAAGTGTTAAAAATTTTGTCTGATTAGTTATTCTGTATTTCAAAAATATCCTCATTTATGAATATGTTTTCAGCTAGACTTGGTGACTTTTTCATAGTTAAACAGTAGGCTACGTAATTAAAAAAAAAAATGATAAACTAATGAGTTAACTAAGACAATTTCATGGAATTTCAAATAAATACAAAAACTGAGAAATGACTTAGATAAACTCTTATAAGCCTATTTATAAATTAGAGGAAACTTTCTTAGATCTCATGCTTTAGTCAAACATTTACAGTAGGCCTATTTTAAAATAAACACTTAGTTCCATATTTTTGCAATTGTTTTTTTGCAATTAATAATAAACCTTTAACACCAAAATATAAGTTTGATACACATACATATTTATATGGTTTAAAAGTTTTTAACCAGGTCTATTTTTGGTGAATTGAGAAATGCTTTGTTCGTAAAAATGAAGATGGAATATATGTAAAATAAAATTGTAGATTTTCTCGTGAACTACTCGACTCGACTCGACTCGATACTCGAGTATTAGGGCTAATTACTCGACTCGACTTGACTCGACTCAAAAAAACACTACTCGCCCATCCCTAAGTATATATGAAAAATAAACTAGTTTTAAGGTTTCAGTTTCACAGAAATACTGCAATCTGCCAAGGGTAAAAACACCTGAAGATATTTTAGCAATTAATTCTTGGACATTGGAGTTCCAGTTTAGATTTTGATCTATTGTTAGACCTAAAAATTTAGTTTTGTTTGTTTTACTAATTAATTGATTTGTTCCAATATTTAGACTATCAGATTGATATTTTGCAGACTGTGGGGTTTTAAAGTTAATGAAAATTGTTTTTTTATTTTATTGCTAAATTATTCTGAGTGAAGTAACTAGTCAAAGTGGCCATATTATTCTTAACTGATAGTTCTGTCTCACTAAAAAGTTTTATCTGATATTGTTTAAGTGGCATCATCAGCATATAGAACTAATTTACTTGTGCCAGTCGGTGTTGGTATGTCTACCAAGTAACAGTTGGACAATAAAGTTGAGAGTATTGATCCCTGTGGTATGCAATTTTTAATTTCTAAAAGTTGAGAGTTGTAATAATGTTTGAAGTTGTTAGAAAGGTTTACGATTTGGACAAACTGTTTCCTATTGGTGAAATATGATTTTATCCTAATCAAAAGCTCTATCTTTAATACCAATTCTATGTAGCTTGTCTAATAAAATTGGGTGGGAAACAGAGTCAAACGCTTTACTCAAATCTATAAAAATTCCAATCGCTTTTTCATGATTATTGACTGAATTAATAACTGACTCAATCAAATCAGTTGCTGCTTTAAAATATTGTTTGTTTCTAGAAATGACTCTCTCTTTATATGCTACTTTTACGAATATTTTTTATATTGATGGAAGAATCGCTACCGGCCGGTAATTAAGAGGATTTGCTTTATTTCCTTTCTTGTAAATAGGCTTTAATTTTGAGAATTTCAGCTTCTCAGAATAACTTCCACGAGAAAAGAGGCATTAATGGCATGTGCAATTGGTTTGATCAGTTGTTGTTTAGCTCTTTTAATAAGTATTGGAGGTATTTCGTCATACCCACTACTGTATTTATTCTTTAGGCTGTCAATTATTTTTTCTAGATCTTTTCACGGATTGGTTTAAATTTAGAGAATGTTGGATTGTTGCTTTTTTAAAAATATTTACAATCTATTGTGTGCAGACCACACACACTCTGCTGTGGAACAATGTAATTTGACACTGATAGGCTATTGAAGAATATATTCAAGGATTCTGCTATATGTCCAGGGTCTGTAATAGTTTTCCTATTGCTTTCCAGTTTAGGGATTTCAGTTTTAGAGTTTTTGTTACCGACCTCAGAGTTAATAATTTCCTAAGTTGTTTTACTTATATTAGAATATTTATGTATTTTCCCCTTTAAAAAACGTTTTTCCGTTCTAGAACAGCATTTTTTTAAATTTGATTCTTTTGCTTTAGGCAAGTCCCACACTAGTCCGCTCAGTTCAGTCCGCTCAGCTCAGCTCAGTTCCGGCAGTTTTCCCACATACTGCGTCAGTTCGGTCCGCTCAGTTCAGTCGTTTTTGAGAGCCAAACGCCAGTGGACAATATACACTGACATTGTTCACAAGTATATTTTTTGTGTCGAGATTTCCTAGTTGTTATGAGAGTTCCACCAGTAGTGACGAAGAAATTGCTAAGAAATTAAAGTTGCAAGGAAAATGAGACGATTATGGGTTCACAGCATCAATGTATTTTCAATGTATCAATGAAATTTCCTCCCACAAGCCTCCTTCATGGTAAAGTTGTAATAATCCTTGTGTGACAGGTCGTACAACAATGGATACTACTGAAATCAGTAGTTCATCAAAACTCATATTTAATAAATATCATACAGTAGGCCTACTACGACTCTGCACTGAACTGCACATGCGCGGCACCTCTGTTCCTTCCGTCGCTTACGTACAAATCGCTCGCTAACTGAAAACTGGCTGAGACGGACGGAGCGGACTGAACTGAGCGGACCCAGTGTGCGGCTCTACATTTGAATACATGGTTTTTGAAATTTGCGGAATGGACTGAACTGAGCGGACTCAGTGTGCGACATGCCTTACTTTAACAGTTAAATATTTATCTTTTGAATTTCTGGCTATACGACTGAGTTCATTCAAGCCTTTTTTTGTTTCTTTAAGGTCAGCAGAAAGCCAATGTTTTTTGTTATGGTGTACATTGTTACGTACCTCAGTTCTCTGTACAAAACCGGTACCAAACACGGTTACCGGTATCTTTCTAGATCAAAAGCAGAGCCTTGGTTGATACAGCAACATCAACGGTTATAGAATATTTTTTATTTCCATAATCAATGACATTTAAGAATAAATAAATAATCTATGACAAAGTTTTAGAATAAATAAACCTACCACATAGTTGTGTCAAATATTATATTTAATTCATTTGTTTGGATCACATGTCTGAAATTGTGAAATAAGCATTTGGCAGTTCTTATTTTTTACATTGAAATGTCAACGCTAAGGTAAACACTGTGAATTTTCTCATGCTTCCATGAAGACTAATTATTAATATTTACTTTTGAAAACCTCACATCAAAACTTCAGACGTAGGAACTCGGGGAAGTAGGCCTATGACATTTCTAGATATGCGCATCTTTGTGCTAAATTTTGGCTGTATCGGGTTAGTATTTTAGTGGCGACAGCCGTCCAGACAGACAGACAAACACACACCACCTCAATTTTATAATAGTATAGACGATTTAATAAAAGAACAAAATAAATTATCTGAACTAAAACAAAACTGATTTAATTTATAACTAATAAAAAACTTCAGATAAATAAATAACAGTTACATTGTTAAAGACCAAACATATTAAGGACCATTAAAGATGACCTGTTAGTAGCAGTAGTAAATCGTCCACTTGTTCCCCCACCTGCTCCTGGCCAACTTCTGTCCCTCCCACCACCACACCCGACACTGTGCAACACTGTATCATTTCGTGGTTTTACACTCAAAAACAATTTAAAAAAATAAAGCTATAAAGCAAAGCAGAAAATTACTCAACACGTTCCTTATTTATTTTTAGTTTAACGGTTAAGGTAGCATGACGGACGTAGAGTTTTTTTTATATAACTAATTAATTTAGATATCAGTTTGGTTATTTTTGTATTTTTAAAGAGGAAAGTGTGTGTTACTTAAAGTTGGTCCAAACCCCACCCCCATAAAACGCAGCGTAACACTATGCCACTTGGTTGATTTGAAGTGGAGTTAATTATTTCCCTTCCAAAACATAGTGGTTGGCTCAATCTAATAATTCTGAGGCGAATCTCTAATCCTAGTGTTTCTCTCATCCTCCAAAATAACTTAATATAATTGATTTTAATATTCAGTATTTTAAAATATGCCACTGTTTATATTGAACTCTTTATTTTTAGGAAACAATCATATTCAAATCCTGAATTCTCTGACCATATCTGAGGCTAAAAAAGCAGGATCCTTTGTCGATGGATGCAAGGTAATATTCACTGTAGTATGTAGTTGAGCGAAGCTCTTTAAGATAGACTTAAATGCAAACTTTCTAATACTATCACTCATAACGGCTGAACATATTTTAGCCAATCTTACCAAGGTTGTTTCGACAAATGTTTGGAAGTTTTAGGACGCAACAATTTCAAATTTTGACAATGCCAATATATTTTAAAAGCAACTCACAGTTTTTAAATTTCAATATTGGCTTTATGGGTTGCCAAAATGGTTACAAAATAACAACGTAAATGTGTAAACAAAACAAAGAATCTTGGTAGATAGCATATTTTTAAAATCAAGCCAATATGTGACCTAAACACAGTACAAAGGATAAACATTCTGATGATGACCACTAATGAAATAATAAAGAGAAAGTATAACACGCCATTTGGAAACTACCACTGATCAAATAGGTACAGGGTTTAACAAATTTTGATTTTATTTATGTAAACTAAATTAGATTATAACAAATAATTTTTATCTTATGTGATTGGGAATTAAAACAACTAACGAAAACGAACCAATAAAATCAGCAACCAGACCCATCACTAGCTCATGAGATTTGGGAGTTTTTGGACTAATTGCCTAAAAGGCCTATATTATCAATATTTTTGACCCCTTTATTATCAAAAATTGCCATTTTTTTGTAATTATCATTACTATTTGTCTTAATAATATATTTGTGTTTGAGTAAACAATTAAAGAAAGCTTTGTTTAAAAAGAAACTGCCAAACATATTGACGTTTCCAAAGTATATTTCCATTGATGCTCTAATTTCTATTGCTATATTTAAACTTACACAGTTAACAATAATAATGTTTATGTTTGCTGCAGGTATATCTGAGTGGTTACAGAGGGATGGACTTAGAGAAGTTAGTTCGTATTCTCAGCTTGGGAGGAGCAACAGTGTTTTCCGAAATGTCAGATAGTGTGTCTCACGTTATACTTGGTGAATTTGTAATAGATGATGTGAAAGCACTATCTGGTTTTGCTCAGAAGTAAGTATCATGGTACAGCATCCCTCAGTATCACTTTGATAGAAATGTAAGATATAATACAGTACAACCTTGATAATTCATCCCTCAAAAATCATCACGGATTTCGCCACAATCGCTGGAAATCATTACTGATGTTGCCGCTATCGTGGAAATTATCTCAAATTTTGTCACAATCAAAAGATATGTTCACTGATGTTGCTGTGATTGCAAAAAAATTCACAGAATTCGCAAAAGAGGTTTTATTTTACCAGCAGGTTTAAATAAGTAAGTCTTGATTGTCTTGTACATGGATACAGATTGTCCTATATATGGACACAGTTAGTCTTGTACATGGATACAGATAGTCTTGTACATGGAATCTTGATAGTCTTGTACATGGACATAGATTGTCTTATATATGGACACAGATAGTCAATATTAATTTTGTTTTTAAATACATCACTATGACCTGTTCTTATGTATGAATTGTACTTTATAAAGAACGTTTTGTGTGGATAGAACTAAAACAATTTTAAACAAGAAAATAATATCTAAAAAAACTTTAAAAATTTCAAATATTTTTTAATTTTAACCAGATAACTGGTCAATGCAATGTTGATGTTTGCAAAATTTTTAATTTTTACCCGTTTAACTTTATGCATTTTTTCTCCTTAATATTTAAGATTGTAGATAAAAAAAAAACTGTAGACCTCTAGGACTCACAAGGATGAAATGATGACTGTTGCAGACCACATGTTGTTAGCCTGGAGTGGTTGGCAGCTTCTATCAAACAGCGAGCTCCTGCTACAGAGGAATCTTATCACTGTCTAGAACCAAAGAGGTTGCCCGAGCCCCCCTCTCCCCTCAGTCAGAAGGTAAATTAAAGCTCTGAGTCAGGCCTTTATACTGTAATATTACTCTGCATTGAATACAAACAAATTTTATTATTCAAATGACTTGAAATATTGCTTTAAAAATTATAATTATTTGAATAATGTAGATGTTACTGTTAAAATTGAAAGATAATCAAGCTTAACTTAAGTACAAATAATTGATGTGATGATGTGCAGTTACAGTTAAACTTTCTCTATGTTAGAAATATAAAAGTATGGAGAAAAATATTCCGAAACAAAATAATTATCATTATATAATTATTATATTCAGTACCTATATAATAGAGTGAAAGTTTTGCTGTAACACATTAACTCTGAGGCTGGAGAGGGTCGGCCTAGCCATTGTCCTGCTGGTCAGATCGTCCATCTCAACATAGTGTTGCGGGCTTAACAGGTTCTTTACAATAAAACTTGGCGATTTTATAGTAACTATTTATTTACACTAATTATTATCTATTTACAAATATTAGAATTACCTAACACCTAACTAACCCTATCTAAACCTAGCTAAAGCCTATTCTAATTTACAATGTTTCAACTTACAGCTAGCCTCTACAGGATTTATCACTACTTCTGTTACAACACTGTCACTACACTGTCACTAGTGTCACTACACTGTCTCTACACCGTCACTACACTGTCACTGCCACTCCACTAGCACTGGTCACTAACACCGACGGGCGCTTGCCGTGACGATTCTCGGAAGTCTCAACTCAACTCAACTGCCGTGTGCCGGAAGACGGTCCCTTATATAAGTTTGCCGTGGAACATTCTGGAGACACTGGAGACACCTAGTAGCCCAAACAAAGCTGTTTACAGATCACCGTGGAAGCTTCTAGTGGATGTCAAAGACCCTATTGACGTAGTCCGTTGACATGGGTCTATTGTCTTTCGGAGAACCCCGTGTAGACAAACAACCCTTTTGACGGCGCCTGGCTATTGTTGCGCGGGGCTCCTGACTTGTAACAATAGGTTGAGACAGCCTTTAATAGCATTAACATATGGTTTAGATGTAAGCAATGTTAAATAATGTATACTTTCGGGCCAGTAACTTATTTATATGTTTATGATCCATACCGTGTCTGTTCAAGTACTCAAGCTATTTACTGTTTTAAGGTTAAATTACTCTTAAATGTATAATTTAATTTATGTTGAAGGGAATGGAGCTGCTGAAACCCCCAACTGATGACAGTGCAGCCTCTAAGATGCCTCCCCCTCCTGAGCCCCCTGTCAATAGAAAACTCTTCTCAGAGTTCATCAAAGAAAGTATGATGATGTAGATATAACTGACCCATTATGGAATAATGACCAGACAAAACGAATAAACATTTGGATTTACAAAAATTGAATTTAAAGAACCTTAATGACTGTTGTAAATAAAAATCTAGAAACCTCTCATAAAATTGCAAAAAAATTATGATCAAATTAGGATATATTTTTTGTATTTTCTTTTTCTGTTTAATCACTTAGTTCAAGTTGAAAAAAACTAATTTGTCAATAATGAAAATTCAATTTTAGTCAGAATGTTAGATGTACCATGATTCCAATATTGCGATTGTGATTTGTTTATCTTATTCGGTAAGAAATAAATGCTAAATCCTTTTAAAGACTTATGTTGCTTGGAGGTTGTTATAAAAATATCAATCCTGCATAATTGTTTAATCTTTGCTTTAACCAATCAATTGTGTATGACTGTCTAGATATCAAATCTGATGTGTCGCCCATGAAGTCAAACCAAAATCAATCTGTTAACTCAACAACTACAAGCCAGGATTCATATGTGCCTGACTTATTTCTGGGTAAGTTGTTTAATTACTGGGTATGTTGAATCTATACTGGGTCCCTTGTTATTTCTTTGCTACATAAGGGGGTTAAAGATGATTTGTATTGTATTGTAAGTTGATAAACCAAATTTAAAGGCAATTAACTAGAATATAAAGAAGAATGGACTTGGTTACAAAATTACTGCTGATCTAAATTAATGAAAGTGATTTGTGACTAATATCAATAGTTACTTAGTACAAAATGTCATTCATTTAACTTCATCAAACTTCTAAAAATATAATGTGCACAGTAAAAACATCTGTAAAAAATTGGCGAGTCGGTGGCTCAGTTGGTAGCGTCGCGGACTTCGGGCCCAAGGCAGTAGTGTCGTGGGTTCGGATCCTGGTCACTACCACAAACTTTTATCAGTACAGTTCACCTTTGTACTGTACCAGCTCACCCCTTGCTTTGCTGGATACATTCCACGCACAGATCTGTAGTCTATGTGGACGGGCAAATGCAAGGTTAAAAGAGGCCGCCAACCTCTTTAAAAAAAAATAAATTAAAAAAGATAAAAAAACCCAGATCTGTTAGGTTAAAAATAACATAATTTAGCAACTGAAGTAGTGATGGGCGGATCCAAGAAAATGTCTGTACCGGATCTGGATCTTCGGATCCGGATCCATATACTTTTTTTTCCAAGGTTGGGTTTTTTAAATAACTCATATGGCCAGGCAATTTTACAGTATTTTTTGATGTCAAAAATTCATATGGCTAGGTAATGTGTCTGTGACAGTATATGTAAATGTCAATAACTCATATGGGTAGGCAATGTCAAAGACTATCTTTGTCAATATACAAGACTATCTGTGTCCATATACAAGACTGTCTGTGTCCATGTACAGGACTATCTTTGGACACAGATTGTCTTGTATATGGACACAGTTAGTCTTGTACTTGGATACAGATAGTCTTGTATATGAATGGACACAGTTAATCTTGTACATGGACACAGTTAATCTTGTTCATGGACACATATAGTCTTGCACATGGATACATATTATAGTCTTGTACATGGACCCAGATAGTCTTGTACATGGACCCAGATAGTCTTGTACATGGATACAGATAGTCTTGTACATGGATACAGATAGTCTTGTATATGGACACAGATAGTCACTATTAATTTTATTTTAAAATACATCACTATGACAAAACACCTGTTCTTATGTATGAATTGTTCTTTGTAAATGATGTTTTGTGTTAATAGAATAAAAAAATTAAATTAGAAAAAATTTAAAAACTATTTTTTTTTAAATTTTAATATTTTAAATAAGAAAAAAGAATTGGATCCATTAAAACCGGATCCAGCCCAAGATCCGATTTTTGTGGATCCGATCGGGCGTCGGTTCTAGCTCAGATCCGGCGGATCTGGTAGTTCGATATCTGGATCCGACCATCACTAAACTGAAGAAGTCATTGGCTTTTGACAGAAAGTCAAGCAGCTAGTGTTGCCGAAGAATAATACTCTTCCAATGCCGACTGTTGCAGGCAAGAAATTCCTTGTGGTTGGATACGATACTGAACTAACCCAAAACATTGTGGAAGCCATAGAAGAGTCTGGAGGTACTGTTGTGGCAACCAATTTTAAAGGAGTCCCTGACTATGCTGTGGTGCCCGTAGAAACTCCTGTGCCTAATGTTACTGCAATGGAAGTAGTAACACCCCTGTGGCTGGTAAGAGAACTCCACAACAAAACATATTTGGAATCAAATGTTGATTTCAGTTTTAGGGAAGTGTTGATGTAAGGTTTTATAAAAGTGTATTTTCTAAAGTTAAATATGGATAATTTTCCAGAGGAGGCATCTACAGTAAAACCTCCATAGTTGGACACTTTGTGGACTTATTGGACAACAAACTATTGAAATGTCGAACTATAAGGTGTAAATGGAGTTTAATATACAGGAATGTAAAAACACAAGTCTTGTATGGAAATCATTCAAATTTATAAAGTGATATTAATATTTATATTATTATTATTATAAAATACTAAAAAGCTCATCAATTTCACTGTTTATTAGTTAGGTCTCAAGTCAACACTAAATGACAAATTAATTTTCAAGTCAGCTTACATTACAATAGTAACCATTAAATATCACTTGACAAAATAGCTCAGCCCGTGTTCAACTACAAGGAGTGTCGAACTATCGAAGGTTTACTGTATCTACTTATATACAGGGTGTCCAGCCTTGACTAGGACAAAATTTACCAGATTATTTGGGAGGTCAAAACAGGCAAAACATACAATACAACATGTGTCCTATCTCAAACCGTTTAGCGTCTGTCTGTATGTTCTTTTTACAAAAACATTCATAACTCCTTAACCGTCGAGCTATAGCTTTGAAATTCAGCAAATACGTTTATTGTTTTGCCCACTACCTTTGTGTAAAATATGAATGAAAAATGTATAGCTGTTTCAAAGTGAGGGCCATTTTTTTTTTCAAAGCTTAACATCTTAAAAACTAAGTTTTAAAAAAATGTTACTCGATAACAAAAGGTGGAAAATTTTATTTACTATAAGATGGTGCAAAGATTGTTAAGATCGGACCATTATTAACTAAGCAGTTGCTGTTTTTGTAATAAAATAAATGGAAAGCTGTAGAGATAAAGAACAGCTTGTTGACCAATTAGCTGTTTACTTTAACTTATGATAACACGGTCTTCAATAATGTGATTTGTTTTATTTATTTTTCCTGCATTAATAGTTGACGTAAATTTGTGTATATTATGTATGGAAATTGTTGCTCATTTAATTAATTAATTAAATTTATCTTTCAAGCGCTAGATGAAGATGCAAACGACTCATAAACTCAATGTCCCGCTTCCTTTCTTGGACACTATTAGTTCTAATTAAAAGGCTAAGAGTTGGTGTGTAGGTTCTAATCCATAGTATCTCCAGGCGTTTTTTCATTTTTTAGAAATTTTGATTTTTAATGTATATTTTTCCATAAAAACCCGTAAAATAACGGAAAAATAGGATTTACTCAGAAATGGCCTGAACGATTTTTATAAAGATTTAGTATGTTGTAGCCCTTTAAATTCTGAACAGAATGGTATGACTCCCATTTCTGTAAAAATTACGGTTCAAAAGTTATTGTAAATTATGTTATTTTCCCATAAAAACCTCATAAAATAACGAAAAAATCAGATTTTCTTGAAAATGGCCAGAACGATGAAACATTTAGTATGTTATAGCCCTTTAAATTCTGAACAGAATGGTACAAATCCCATCTCCGTAAAAATTACGGTTCAAAAGTTATTGTAAATTATGTTATTTTCCCATAAAAAACCATAAAATAACAAAAAAATACCCCCGTCGCAGCAAACCTGCATACTAAGCGAATTTCCATTTACCCGGCTTGATTTCTACTAAAATATTCCCTATAAATTTTCAGATTTATTTCCTATTTAAATAACATGAATTTTAGTGAGTAGTTAGGTTTGCTGCTACGGGGAAGATATTGAGGTATGTTTTTTCAATTGAAATATTGATAGCTTAGTATGAAATAAACCAAATTGCCAAATTTGATTAAAATATATCCATAAACAAGCAAACTAGAACAGTTTATTTATTCTCCATAAGAATAACATGGGAATTTTAAATTTACAATTTTTTTAATTTTCTCTGTAGTCAATGAACATTCAAAAACACTTCAATATACTAAATTATTTGTTTTTTTAAGCTCTTCAAAATGGTCTAGAGAGAAATTTAGAAATTTGAAGTTTTTAGGGTCAAAAATGAGGAAAACACATTTTTACCCCATAAAACCCCCCATAAACCCCTGATCCCATGGTCCGATTATGCTGGTTCGCTAACTCGTTCGAATAAATGTAGGTTTACACGTTTGTACCAAATTTCATCAAAATCGGATCAATTTTGCTCGAGTTATCGCGCTAACGGACACACACACATATATATATATATATATATATGAATTTGAACGGATGGTGTTTTTGGCCTCTGGGGACCTCAAAACGAAAAAGTAAATCGGTCCCGGGTCTAGGTCTTACCATGAGACCTACGGTAATAGCTTATTCCCTATATGGGAAATTCGCTAAAATCTGATTTTTTGAGAAAACCTGGCTTTGAACAAAATTAATATGTTATGGTCCTTATAATTAAAAAAAAAAAAAAAAAAAAAAAAAATAGCACAACACCCCATTACTGTAACAATTATGGTTCAAAAGTTATTGCAACTTTTGTGATTTTTAACTATAAAATATCACATTTACTCTCACCTCTTACCCATGATAAAGGTTGTTGACAAACTTATGGGAGAAAGTATGTGTCAGAAAGCTGATACCATTTATTTATTTTTTGGTCAGGTAGGGTGGATATTTTAGCTAAAGAGTTAATTTTATTAAATCATATTTCTTTAAATGAACTCTTATTAAATTAACCATAATTAGATGATCTAGTTTGGTTTTAATTTAAATTCTACGAGAGGCACTTCCCACCACGCGGCGTTGCGTCGTACCGACAGATTCTGCCTACAATCTCCTACAACTCGCGCATGCGCAGGTCTTCCAAACAACTACTATTACCGTATACTTTAAAATTTTAAAAGCCGAAGTACGTAGGCAATAGGCATTTCATGAAATATCATCCAAACCCACAAAAAAGGCACATCTTAGGGGTGATCATCGGTTTGATCGGGGTCACGGCACGATCGTCAGTATGACTCTGCGGTCACGGCGTGATCGTTGGTATGACTCGCGGTCACGGCATGATCATCGGTAACATCTCTCGCCATAGCGGCGTCATCGTCACTCGCGAAGCGGCAAAATCACCGACGATCAAATCAAAGCCCGTCCCGAAAAATTCCTGAATCAAGTGTAATTCCGTCCCAAAAATCGGAAACATTTTTTCCCCGACAATTTCCTGAAATTTTGGGACTTTTCCATACCTAATATATATAGATGGATAGATCATAGATTTATTCAAGGTTGTATAGATAATTTGTCGGATTGATTCTTATCTGAATGTGATCTTAAAGAAAAACAGCAATGGCTTTGCTTGCACACTACAGGTATAAATATTGATATCATTGACTTAGATCTCCTGTTTTTCTCAATTTCCTGTAACTTACATTCAGTTCTAACAAAAATTTAAAATCATAGAAAGTCATAAGAAGGAGATTTCCGAAGCCACTTTGTTGGTGCTAATCCCTCATCAATGAGTCCCTTTCCATGGTATTTCAGACAAAGAAAAACTTGTTATTGAACATCTAGGCCGTTTTCCTATTTTTCTTCTAAATTCATTGTATGCATCAGCCATAATTATTAAAGAAGCAAAGGCTGTTATGTCAAACATAGAGATTTGTAGAACACAATATAATCAAAATCAAATACCGTCAACTCATTACATCACAATAAAAGAGCAACTGACATTGTCTGCCAGTCCGAAACTTGTACCTGGAACTTTGTATCGTAAACTTGTGATATGTTAATTGATTTGTTTATGATCTTTTTGTATTAAGTTCCATTCAAAACTTGTTGTAATTTAGCTATTCAGTTGTTTCAACAAAAATATGAAAATGGGAAAGAATGCCTTGATAAAAAAAATTTATTTTCTTAAATCTTGCAGTTGAGGCAATTTCCAAGCTGTAAATAAGTTATGAAAATGAAATAATATACATAAATACAATCTTTTTTCATATTTTATTATCAGGTTATATTATAAACACAGATAGGAGTAAAATAAAACTAAAAATATTTGGTATTAATGATTTTTGGCTTGAGACCCGAGGACCAAAATTATTGGCCCGACCTGACCCGAACCAAAAAGGTCTGACCCGCAGACCCCTAGTTCAAATCTGCCAGACTATATCATGCGTCATACAATATATCATGTACTATACATTTTTGTGTTTTACAGGAGGATTGTAACGATGCTAAAGAGTTGGTAAAAATAGAATATTACCATCAACCATTAATTGTAGACACAGAAAAGAAGCCTCTGACTAGCTGTTGCTTGACACTGAGCAGCTACACTGGCCGAGAGAAGGCATTCCTAGTACAAATGACAGTGGCTCTCGGAGCTGTGTACCAGGACACCCTGGTTAAAGTGGCTAAGAAGAGTGGAGACCAAGGTGAGTGGGCAACATTTCCAGTCTTCATCTATGCCATTGTCCTATTTAAATGTTTTTTTAATGTCACTGTTTTTCATAGCATAATTTATTGATAGGTCAGTTTAAAAAATGACATCTGGGCCCTGTTTCATAAAGATACTAGTCTAGTAATTACTAGTCTAGTAAATACTAGTCCCGTATTTACCTGTCCTACTAATTTGTGTTTCATAAACGTTTTTATACCGCTAGTAAATACTAGTGTATTTTACTAGTCACGTGACCAAAAATACTAGTCACGTGACCAACTTTACAAGTGAACTGTCAACACTAATTTCTAACCTCAATCACGGGTTTTCTGACGATTTATAATGGGTTTAAATTTTGTTTTCATTTGATACAAAAAGTAAATAGTTGTAGAAACGCAGTGTTTTCTTTTAATTAATAACTATATAGACACATAAGTAAAACAATCACATATTATTTATCAAAACGCTATTATTTATGTTCATCAATGAGCCCGCCGACGCGCCGGCGTCGCGTCGCTGCAATCAACGCGGTGATTGTAGTAGCCGGTTGTAGGCCTAGTTGCGGCGCTCAACAGTTGGGTGGAAATTGATCTGTTGCTGCCACATTCGCTGTTATTTGTACAGTAGACTCCCTCTAGTTCGGCCACCTCGGGACCGGACCATTGGCCGGACTACAAAACGGCCGGACTATCCGGCTGCAGTGCATTTTAAATAATCAAAATACAAATAATAGTATTGCACAATCGAGATATGTTAATTCATTAACCTTGGTTCAGTAATAAAAACTGTAACGTTTAAAATCACGCTTACTCAAACAAAACAAAAATTACACAACATTGTACGTACAGCAATAAATCACGTAAAGAACAGAACAATATAAATAAAGTCTAGTACTGCAAGCTACTGCTACCGTAGTCAGCATAGGCTACTACTACATATTGTTTCAGAACTTAAGAATGTCGATAAAAGCCTTAGATAACTCATAAAACAGCATAAAATCATAGTACTTAGTCTTAAAGATAATAACGACAGGTGTAAAATATGATAAAGATAACAATGGATGACGAAAAACACCGCTTATTCTTTATTCTTTGTTCTTCTATTCTTTCTTTGGTTTCTCTTTATCCACACATTCAACAAGTTGCCATGGTTACTAATCACCCAATCACAAACTGTTGTGAAATATCAAGTGCACAGCAGACATCAGTTGTGTAAAGAGCAAGAGCAGATGATTGTCAGTGCAAGCGGATAGCTTGACCTTGAAGCTAACGATTGCTTTTTCTTTGTTTTGCTTAATTTATTTTTGTCAAATAAACCGTGGTGTTTCAAAAACGATAATGGGGGAACCTACTGCATAAAAAAATGGTCCGAAATATTTAATTATAAACTGCATTTCAACATATTAGACTGAAGAAAAACTGTTTATAAAATGTTGTTGGTATTTTTGAGGTTATGTAATATAGATTTACATAGGTAATATGCAACAATTCACCCATAGAAGCACCCGTCAACTAAACTGACATGAATTGTTTACTTCTATGGCCGGAAACTAAACATTCAAGTTGAATCCGGTCGAAGGTCATTCGCCCGTGACGATATGACTTGTCCCCCTGAGACCGGGCCGGACCATCCGGCGGCCGATCCAACCGAAGCCGAACTAGAGGGAGTCTACTGTATAGGTTTTGTTTTATTCTGGCACATAAAATTAAGCTTGCCATGAGTAAAGAAAAGAAAGCTCAAATTTTGAATGTAATTAAATCGTCTAAGGATATTTTGTTAGGAACGTTTTCAAGTACCCTAACCTATGTTTTAAAATATTCGAATGCATAAGAATATTTGGATTAAAAACCATTCTGTGATATTTTGATATTTTGAGTCTACAACCCATGAATAATAAGCCTAAACGTTTATTGATGTAACAAATAATTGCAACGCCGTTACAAGCAATGGAGAAGTAGGTAGGTTTTCAAGTATAGTAAAACATGACTCAAATGCTAGGGCTGGGCGTCGCCGTAACTCAGAGGTAGAGTTCTCGCTTTTCATGAGGTCGGTCCCTGGTTCAAATCCGCGCCACTCACTGTACTTTTCATTCCATTAATTAAACTTTTACATGTTTTTGCATTAAAATAACAGCTCTAATATTCATCATCTAATTTTTTTATTACTTTGAATAACAAATTCAGAATACCAAAATGGATTAAAAGTAATGTTTTTATGATAAGCAGTTCAGTCCAACGCCCAAAAAACAAATATAGGCCTACAAAATTGTTAGTACATCACAGGGTTTTAGCATAGATAAAACATAGGGAAACAAATAATAAGCACCTAAAAATACCCCTGCCGCAGCAAACCTGCCGACTAAGCGAATTTCCATTTGTCTTAATTGATTTTCAATTAAATATATTTTAATAACATTAGGTTTAACGAGTACCTAGGTTTGCTGCTACAAGGAAACTAATAAAGTGTGTTTTTTGTAAAATATTGATAGCTTAGTACAAAATAAAAATTTTTATCAAAATACAAAATATATCCATAAACAAGCAAACTACAACAATTGACAATATTCTCCATAAGAATAACATGGGAATTTTAAATGTACAATTTTTTTTATTTTCTCCGTTACTATTAACCGAAGAAAAATACTTTTATATACTAAATTAATTGTTTTTTTAAGCTCTTTAAAAAGGTCTAAAGAGAAATTGGGAAATTTTGTGTTTTGAGGGTCAAAAGTGAGAAAATCCAATTTTTACCCCATAAAACCCCCCTGTAAAGCCCCGTTCCCATGGTCCGATCATGCTGGTTTGCGAACTCATTCAAGTTTATCCCGCTTTACACCTTTAAACCAAATTTCATCAAAATCGGACAAAAATTACTCAAGTTATCGCGTTCACGGACGTATATATATATATATATAAGTCTATATATATATATATATATATACATATATAAAAATTTGAACGAATGGTGTTTTTGGCCTCTGGGGACATCAAAATGAAAAAGTAAATCGGTCCCGGGTCTAGGTCTTACCGTGCCACCTACAGTAATAGCTTCTTCCAGGGAAATTCGCTAAAATACAATGCAACTCCTCTTTAAAATTGTCTTACTATTATTTCTAGGGATGGTCAAGTCTCGAAATTTCGGGAAATTTTCGGGAAATTTTAAATCTTGTTAAACGAGACGAGATTTCTTTTTGGCCGAGATTTTTATCGAGACGAGAAAAAAAAATAAAAAATAATATTAAAAATGCCTGCAGAAAGTCAATGCAATACCCGCAATACAGGAGCGTGTTGTAGTTGCGTTTCCTTTGCGAAGGCGTTCTTATTTAATTAATTATTTAAATGTAAATATTACTTTAATTATTTTAATAATATTACTTTAATAACATTTGAAAAGTTTTGTTAAGTGTAAGCAGTGTGAGGAATGTTTTATTACTATAAAAAGTCAAAACAAGTAACTATTTTATAAAAATTAATATTGCTTTTATTTTATGATTTATTTTATTTTAGGATAAGTTGAACTCTATCCTAACTGATATCACTATGTTTCCTAATCGTAGGCATTTTTAATAAGTTAGGCGTGATTAATAAAAAATGTTATGCTGATGTTTTTTAATAAAAGATTGTAAATATTCTTGCCTATTATCATTATTTTTGTATTTAAACAGTCATCTAACAATGTTACAAAATCAGGTAAACATTTTGAACGTGCATTTCCGGTTGTGTATGAGAAGGGAAATCCCGTCTCGATCTCGTCTCGAAATTTTATGAGAAATAAAAAATCTCGTCTCGTCTCGTCTCGTACTAAAAATCCAATCTCGTCCATCCCTATTTATTTCCTACTAAAATGTCTTTAAATAAAACCGAGAGCCTTGGGTGTAAAATAATATTTTAGCAATCACAGATCTATTTTTATCTTAAATTACAAACGTGAGCCAATTCGCACTTGCAAAAAGAACTTAATAATTCATTTTCTTTTTAATGATGTGAGTAATGAAATAACTCTCTTTCCAAAAATACTAGTCTACTTCAAATAATACGGGTGTAGAGAGGTTGTTAGAAAATGGCAAGTATTTACCAGTGTAATTTACAAGAGTAAAACTTTATGAAACACATTGCTGTCTACACTAGTAAAAACCACTAGTAATACTAGTCCCTACACTAGTAACTAGTATTTTACACTAGTAGGTTTTTGAAACGTAGACTTGTAAATACACCAGTATTACTAGTCCATGGACTAGTAAATACTAGACTAGTAGTTTTATGAAACGGCCCTGGATACAGAATCAATCTTGATTGGAATCGAACCAGCAACTTTCAGATTTGTGAGAATTGTAACCACTTGGCTGAATTGTGGATATTTATAGGCATGCATTGTGGATGTGATACTCCCTGGTGTGGATTAACGTCCGAACTAGTGAGTACTACTAATATCCACAGTACTATCCTGATAATTAGACCAATTCGTTAACTACGAGGCAAAAATGTGGTTCCGGTTCTACTATAAACTGTAGGTCTCTTAGTTTCCATTAGCTGTTTGGGCTATTTATTAACAGCTGTGTCTATGGAACATGTCGGCCTTAGTCACTAACAAGACTACAAGATCGCGCCACTCATCCTACATCCTACATTCATCTCCATTCATACTTGGTTTTAAATACGTACATTTGTATGGTCACCATTTCAGAATAAAGTATTAAAATTTTAATGTGATAAAGTACTCAGATAGTTCTTACTTATAAAGCTGCTTCTCACCCCCAGAGCAGAACGTTTATGTTTATAAACATTCTGCAACGGACTTGGAAAAATCCAAAAATGTTCTCAACACCAAAATAAATATAAAAAACAAAAACACAAAAATAAATTTAAAAAACATTTTGGCAGGCTGGACTTTCTGCAGCCCTCCTAGTCTTTCTGTGACAATGTCACACTGTCACCTGTAGTTCTGCTTTGGCTTCTCTCTGTCAACTCCTCTAGGATTACTGACAAAATATTGTAACACTGTATAATACTTTCTGAAATAAACATTATTTTGTTTTGATCTTCCCTATTGCCTATTGTCATGTTTAACTTTCAGAGCTGCTAGCTTCCACTCACCTTGTCTGCCCCAAGCCTGAGGGTAAGAAGTTCACTGCTGCCACTAGGTGGGGTCTGACAATAGTTACCAAGGATTGGCTTCTGGCTTGTGCACACTCTAGTTCAAAAGTTCCAGAAACCAGTTTTCTGGTCTCAGAAATAGCAGGTAACATTGTTTTCCTACACTTGTCTATTTTCTGAGGGGTGGTCAAGATATAACTTTCAAATGCCCTCACCCTGTACATCCCATAACCTTGCAGTGACTAAAGACATTCAATACAATATCATATCCTACCATATGATGCATGCTTGTTGAAAATACACTTATAGATCTGGAAGCCAGTATTCAATCAAGTATATCTAGTCGTGATACTCGAATCCAAAAATGTCGATTCTCAAAACCGAAACTGAAACTCGGAAATTTGAATCAAGAAACCTTTATGCAAAACCTTTTTGGTTCTGTTCTGGTCAAGGTTACAAAAAAAGAACAGGTTAAGTGTTAATTAACAAATCAGAATAAATTCACTCCTGACCTTGACTTAATAGCATGAATTGTGATTAATCATATATATTAAAACGTGACAGGGTTTTTTTTCACGATTATGAATCAATTACTTAACGGATTTTCACGATTTTTCTGTTGAAAGAAAGATAATTTTAAAAAATTGGGAATGTTGAAGCCATAATTTTAGTTTAGGGTTTAATTTTTTTTTTATTAAGTTTTAATTTTTTTTGTCTAGCAGCCGACGTAAACATTCTTGACTAGCTTTTGCTATTATACCATTTGCTTAACGTAACAGCTGTAAACATTCTGCGTTTGCAACACAAATTCAGCATTTGGATCAAAATGAAATTACAGTACATAGGTAGGGTTAACTTATTTATACTATGTGGAATGCTATATTAATTTATTTGTTCATTTATTCGGTAAGAGGATGACCGATTATTTAAATATACACAGTAAAATACTAGATGTTCTAATAATTTTTTTTTTAGCAGTATTTAAAACCTCTAGTTTGTTTTAGTGCAATATAATTTGTTATAACTAACTAACAATCTATAGAAATATGAGGTTATTTTATTTACTCTGTGATTTTGTCATTGATTATAGGAAATAAGTAAGATTCTATAACCATTGCTGTATACGAATCGAAGCTCACGAGCTTTCAAAAGAAAGCTTTTGAAAATTTATTTTCTACTCAAATTTTTTAGGAAAGGTTGGAAAATAATAATTATTACATGTTTTAATTCATCTTGACAGCTTTTTCTTTACAATAAATTTTGAACTGCTTAAAACTATGCTTGAATTAGGAATAGATATATTGATATAACTATATCCAGTTTTAATGGACTACTCGATTCCCGTACGTAGGACGGGCCGTCAGCTCGTACCCTTTAAACCTAAACAAATAAATTTTTCATAAACAACGAACAAACCTTAAAATAAAGTAAACTTCTGACATTAACTTAAAATGTTGATTTAATTAAAACATTTAGTGGTCAATATTTATTTGTGTTTATTAAATATTGATGTAAAACATAACTCTTCCAATAATAGTATACTATTTTTGATACCTATTGCAGTTAGACTATAAATTACATCTTGCATCAGTGTTACTGATGGTTTGTTTGCGTCATTGCTGCCAGCTTGAGGATTACAGTGTTCAAAATAATAATAATGATGCCAAAAAATAACAGCAGCTTCAAAACTAACAAAATCCTCAATTTCCAAACTTTAGAGTCCCTAAACTCGCCGATTGAATCTCAAAACCAAAACTTTTTCCAAAGCTTTGATGGTTATGAGATTTGGTTTTGACACGTCACTAATATCCAGTACATTAGTCAAGATATTATTACTGAACTGTTATATGCAGCCGTATGGTAATAGGCATTTTTGAAAATATTCTCAAATGCAACTAATTTAAAAAGTCTTATCAAAGTCATTCTACAGACTCGTCAGCCAGTATTGGATATCAATCGCTCAGTTCAGTGACCAAGCAAACCACATCAACATCTGCAGTGGTCAGCACTCCTAAGCCTACAACTTTCTCAACTAAGGAGGCTGATGTCAACTTCAAGACTCCCACCAGTGGTCCTGCCAACCCTCTGCCCCACCCTGCTGTCAACTCACTGAAGCGCAAGAGTTCTGCAATCACACCTGATGATCACAGTCCCTTCCATGTTTCCACACCTGACACACCATATGGACAGGTATTTCATTCACTTCAATACAAGCTGCTATTGTTACAGAAGGATGTTCCACTTTGTACAAGCCTACTATGGATTGTCTTTAGGGGTGTGCGAGGCATCGAAAATGCATTGAAATTCCGATTCGATTTGATACATCAGATCTCGATTCGATTCAGTGATGATCAAAATAACTATTCGATTCATGGGAGAAGGGACCGATCATAAGGTATACCCGGGTGTTTAAAAAATCTGTTTACTGAGTAATTGTATTTGTTTAAAGTAAATAATAAATCAACTTTACTTATTTTATAATTTTATTGAAACTGAATTTACACTACACATAGGTTGTAAACTTAAAATAAATGTTCAAAACGCTTTCCACTAACTTCAGTGCATTTTTACAGCGGTTTTTTTTAGGGGTGTGCGAATAGTGATTTTCAACCTCGAGCCGAGCTTTTTCAAAAATTTTCGAGCTCGAGCTTTTTCGAGCCGAGCTTTTTCTAGCGTCACCTTATCTAAATTATTAAACTTTTTTTTCTTAAAAAAGTGCATAATAATAATGTTCAGTCAATTTTTAAATAAACACAATGTTATTTTAATATGTTTAAAAACATTGAGAATTGTCCAGACATAAAATAGGCCTAGTAGATGACCACGATAAGAACTGAACTCAACTAAATTAAGATGCAAGAAATAAAAGGATAATTGAAGGCCTGACGAGATATGCAGTGCAGACTGAGACAATCAGATTGTCTTTCATAACAGAACAGCAACGCGACCTTGAATGACGACAAAACAACTAGCAAGACGATTACATTATTATGTATATTGTAACTACTACTATGACTATTTAATTCTATTTTGTATAAATAAATACAAAATAAATTTAAAAACACGTGATTATTCTTGTTGTTTTCCATGCACAAAATATTTTAGTTTTATCAATCGTATTAATAAAAAAAGAACATAGTTGGTTTGGATCCAAAAAGGTGGAGAGACAAGTAAAAAGTAAACTTATATATTAAAAAATATATAATTGACATATGAAGGAAATAGACCAAAACACTAAAATTATTGAATAACACACAAAGTAAAGAAGAAATGAAACAAAGAACACTATGAATCAACACTGTCACTCAATTTTGTTATCTAGAAGGGTCGGCAACTAATCAATAAATAGCCAAAACCAGTTTCCTCCCCTTCTTGCAGTCTAACCACCTAGTCCAGGAGCTGAGGGGGTTTGAGCATGCATGAAAGTAGTACGCAATGTTATTGCTGATTATTTTAATATGGACTGTGGTGATCAAAATTACGTATGTCGCCTATTTCAAAAGTGGTCGATAAGGTAGGGGGGAGGGGGCAAACATGGCGGTTTGCGCTATGCATTAAAACGCTGATATTTCGAAAACGGTGAAAGATAGAACATCGGTTAAAACGTCGTTGTAATTCTAAAAATGTGGACTACAATAATGGTTATTGAGTCCGAGGTCGTATCTCTATAAATAAACAAGTTATTGTATAAAATATGTAAAAATGGACTTTTCGTGTAGTTTTGTTTACCGAAAGTAGAATTAATTTGTGAGTGTCGCAAAGAAGTAATATCAAATACCTTTGCTGTTAGTTGTAATATGGACTATGGTGATAAAAAATACACATGTCGCCTACTTTTCAGGTGGTCGAGAACTTGGGGGGAGGGGGGCAAAGATGGCGGAACGCGCTATGCATTGAAACGACTATAGCTCGATAACGGTACGAGATAGGACATCGGTTAAAACGTAGTTTTAATCCAAAAAGTATGGCCAATAGAAAAGGTTATTGAGTAAAAAGTTGTATCTTAACTAATAAAAAAGTTATAACAATAATAAGAATAAGTTTAACAATATATACATTATACAGCTATTTTTTCCAAAATCATATGAATTGTTGATCAAAAATAGTGTTAAATCACTTAATTACTCGGCTAAATATTAACTAGATGCATTTTCTTAATTACTCGGCTAAATATTAACTAGATGCATTTTCTTATAAGAAAAAAAAATATTATTACGAATACATATGGTTTAAAATGTAAAACACGGCCTCCAAACTACATATAATACTTGGGGTTTCGCCGCAATCAAATGCATAATACAGATTACCACTACAAATCCAATTTTAATTATATTGACATATGTTATTACAATATGATATTTAACAGATTCTTATTAAATACAGTTATATGAAATAAAAAAAAACATATCTACAAAAGTAAATACCTTATAATAAAAAATACGGCAAATCTCTTCATTCTGTCCACAACAATTACACTGGTTGTTCATATTATTTGTTGAATTGAAATAGGTACCTATCTTTTGTAAGTTGATGAAGATTTATTGCCTAATCCACTAGTCACTAAGAACAAACGTGCATAAAAACCAGCCACATACAATAAAAAAAAACATAAGCAGCTTAAAATAAATTGTATTGAAATTTAAAATATATCAATAACTATTAAAAGTTATAAAAGAATGTTATTTGTATAAATAAAACACAATAAATGTCAGTAGTCTTAAACTGTACAAATACTTTCACAACCCCGATATCACTGAGTTGGTAGGTAATGAACTTTTGGGGGATTAACAGTTGTGCCGATATCAGCAGCACTGCGCAGCAATTATGACGCAACCTTTCGGACAAACCCCGAGGCGTTTGGAGGCTGTGTTTTACATTTTGAATTATATGTATTTATAATAATATTTTTTTTCTTATAATAAAATGCATCTAGTTAATATTTAGCCGAGTAATTAAGTGATTACACTATTTTTTATCAACAATTCATATGATTTTGGAAGAAAATAGCTGTATAATGTATATTTTGTTAAACTTATTATTGTTATAACTTTTTTATTAGTTCAGATACAACTTTTTACCCTCAAACCTTTTCTATTGGCCATATTTTTTGGATTAAAAATACGTTTTAACCGATGACCGATCTCGTACCGTTATCGAGCTACAGTCATTTCAATGCATAGCGCGTTCCGCCATCTTTGCCCCCCTCCCCCTAAGTTCTCGACCACCTAAAAAGTAGGCGACATGCATATTTTTTATCACCACAGTCCATATTACAACTATCAGGAAAGATATTTGATATTACTTCTTTAAAACAGCGTTTTAACGCATAGCGCAACCCGCCATGTTTGCCCCCTCCCCCCCACCTTATCGACCACTTTTGAAATAGGTGACATACGTAATTTTGATCACCACAGTCCATATTACAATAATCAGCAATAACATTGCGTACTACTTTCATGCATGCTCAACCCCGTCAGCTCCTGGACTAACCACCCCTCCCCCCTAAACCGGGAGGCCCAACACTTTGTCCTTAAAATACCCTAGCCTCTGAAACAATAAGTTAAACCCTTAAACCCGCGTGACAACAGGTTTATGAATGCGTTCACTATTTTTCATTTTCCAGAATTAACTATCAATTATTATTATTTGCAAGTTACAAATAGGAAACTACATCACATTATGGTATTCAATGACCTATGTATTATTATCAAAAATTAATAATTCATTACTTATTTTGATAATAAATACCCCCGCCGCAGCAAACCTGCCGACTAAGCGAATTTCCATTTGTCTGAATTGATTTCCAGTTAAATATATTTTAATAACATTAGGTTTAACGAGTACCTAGGTTTGCTGCTACAAGGAAACTAATAAAGTGTGTTTTTGAGTAAAATATTGATAGCTTAGTACAAAATAAATAAATTTGCCAAGTTTGATCAAAATATATCCATAAACAAGCAAACTACAACATTTGACAATATTCTCCATAAGAATAACATGGGAATTTTAAATTTACAATTTTTTAAATTTTCTCCGTTACTAATAATCGAACAAAAATACTTTTGTATACTAAATTATTTGTTTTTTTAAGCTCTTTAAAAAGGTCTAAAGAGAAATCGGGAAATTTTGTGTTTTGAGGGTCAAAAGTGAGAAAAACCAATTTTTACCCCATAAAACCCCCCGTAAAGCCCCGTTCCCATAGTCCGATCTTGCTGGTTCGCGAACTCATTCAAGTTTATCCCGCTTTACACCTTTAAACCAAATTTCATCAAAATCGGACAAAAATTACTCAAGTTATCGTGTTCACGGACGTATATATATATATATATGTCTATATATATATATATACATATATAAAAATTTGAACGAATGGTGTTTTTGGCCTCTGGGGGCATCAAAATGAAAAAGTAAATCGGTCCCGGGTCTAGGTCTTACCGTGCCACCTACGGTAATAGCTACTTCCCTATAGGGAAATTCGCTAAAAGCATTCACTACAGCACGGACCACTTATTGATACATATAATCATCAAGGTAACTGTTACTTTATACAAAATAAAAATTTACAAAATTGTGTGGCCAGTCAAACTTTATAAACAAACATTTTATTCCATAAAATACATATGGTAAATAGGGGTTGGTTTAAAGGAAATAAAATACAAAACAGATAATTAATTATTTTGATAAACATTAGAAAGGTTAGGATTGATTGAACTAAAATAACTGCAGGGAAACTTATAAGTAGAAAAGTGTTCAACCACAATCTGTTTAATCAGTACATTGTTAGAGAGAGAGAGAGAGAGAGAGAGAAAGAGAGATAGCAGATAGGGGCGTTTGATAAGGAATCTGAAAGAGTAAACAAACAAGGAACAACGACACGACGATACTCGTTTACAGCCTTATTGTGTCGCCCACTACATTTGCACACGTGACCACTTTTTGTTTCTTCCTTATCCTTCATCCGTCCCAAAATAGAATTCCTGAAATTGTTTGTTGGTATAATCTCCCCTCCCACACAAGGCGCAGTGCTCAGTGCGCACTGTAGGTTGCCACGGCAACCGTGTGTCGTCATAGCGACAAGCCAATCACGCACTCGCACTGCGTTGTATATTACGATACGAATAGCTGTTAGAAAGACAACGCGATAGGTGGTCGTTTGTCTCTTTCCTATCTCCTCAAAATTACGATCAATC